TGTAAATTGTCCCAAAAATTATCGCAAAATCCTTGTTTATGTATAGTTTTTATAAATTGACAGTTCTAAAACATATTGTTGGCTCGCCTACTAGACAAAATTGAGCAGAGTAGCAAAATTAATTAGGAAATTTTCAGATTTGTTTATTTCAGCATTCATTTGAAAGAAAGTACCATGTTGTGATACATTTTTGAAAAGGGAATTAACAATTCTATTTAACGCAATAAAAATCCAATATGGCGTCCATAAGAAAAAACAAAGTTATAGTCAATATCTCAAAAACGAAAGGAGATATACTTTTGTTTTATTTTTTATTGTAAAGACCTTGAAAAAGTACCCATAGAATGTCTAGACAAAAATACTGTATGTTCTCAAATTATCGAGATACAGAGGACTGTCAAAAACTCACCATTTTGGTTTTTTATTCAAAAAACCAAAAATAACTGACAAAATGTAAAAGTAGTTCTGAAATAGTAGTAGAATCCTGAGAAACATTGCCCATTTAACCGATTTTGTAGCTCTTATAATAACCGAGATAACATGCAGCACTAGTTTGGGACATAGCGTATAGTATTTGTATTTATATAGTATTAAAAAATATCGATAAAGCAAATATTTGATGTAATAGTAAGTACTCGTATCAGGAATAATAATATTTTTAATACAAGTAGCTTTTGTCCTAGCTTGTTTTTCGTGGGAAGCGAAACGTGCGGAAGCGGAAAAGTTTTGGCTTAGATTTTTTTCAAACGCGAATCTAAGAGAAACCACTTAGAAGACAGATAGTAAGTGATACGTCTATAATATTTTCCTTTTTTTTACCCCCGGTTCGAAGTGTAGTTTCATACAATCTTTGTTTTACTACAATAATTAAATAAAATATACACCGTTCAAACCAGAACAATGTGGAGTCGTTGAATGTTCTGAATAACGAAACTAATGATATACAGGATGTCCCATTAAGGATGATTCTGATTAAAAATAGGACGACTAAACGATACATGCTTAGGTAAAACGTTATTCAAGCGAAATACAGGACGTGTACAAATATTCTCTAAGCCGTTCCTGCAGTCCTGCTCTTAAAAACAACAGACGGGACCCTGACTGCAAGATGGAAACTGAAAACATCCCGAGCAGCAGTTTTGACAATATATTGAATATAGAGATAAAAGTTAGCGTTTAGCCACTATTCAATTCACACATCTGTATCTGTAACGTGTGGAGGGTGGGTTACCCCCACGGCACTTAGGCCTCATTAGGCATCCTCCTGAGATGATAGGCGCCTCCTAGCTCGTGAGCCAGCCTACAGATTTAATGTAGTTGACAACGTCTCCAAGAGGTTCTTCTCTTATATCGGCCCATGTTAGCCGATACTCGCCGAACAAAAATCTTCTAATAAATGAGAGCGTCGAGCAATCGTAAAGGAAATGCTCGATCGTCTCATCTTCTTGTTTACACCCTCTGCAGAGTGCAGATTCTGACAGCCCAATGATATGGAGATGCTTTCGTACTTGGCAATGCTAGTCAGAATGCCTGTGACTAGGCACAGATTGTGTCTAGTCATAGTCAAGTATTTGTTTGCTGCAGTATTGTCAGGATAACTTAAGAGCTTCCTGTCAACTCGGCAGTTTCTTATTTCATCCCATTTTTCCTTAAATTTTACAAGGAAATGTTCTTTGATTAGGTCTGTCACTACCGATTTTGTCAGGCAAACAGAAGGGCCAAGTCCAAAAAGTATTTGGTTTGCTGCTCTCTTGGCTAGTGAATCAGCAAGACGGTTACTTTTCGACTTTGATCCATCTTAAGGTGACCACATTGTTGATGGATACTTCGGCAATGGCTTCGTGACATTCTAGTACTAACCCTGAGTAAATTCGTGGTCTGTTCAGGGTGAGTAGTGCTTGTCTGCTGTAAATTCGTGGTTTGTTCAAGGTGAGTAGTGCTTGTCTGCTATCTGTATAGATGAGCATGTTCCTGGTTATTTCTTTTGCTGCTATGAGAATCCCCGTTAGCTCTGTTTAAACTACACTGGCACTATTGCTCACAGCCCATTTTATGTTTAGGTTTAATAATCTGGAGTATATTCCACATCCTGGTCCTTGTTTTGTTTTAGAACCCTCGGTTTAGATATGAATCGTACTTGCCACTTCAGGCTCTTCTATTTGTTCTATTATAACTTTATATGGCTTATGTAAGATATATCTCGGTGAGATGGAGTCCATGTTTGATTGAAGCAGTGGGAGCGTATCGGGCGCGTCCAGCCAAAAGCGACGTCTCGCCTTACTAGATCCTACATCAGGTTCTATTCCAACTATGCGGAGGCATGTCATTGTCTCAGAGCAACTTCCTTGATGTAAATATCAAGGGGAGTGAGACTAAGAATGACTTCCATGGCTCTGGTCGGTGTTGTTTTCATGGTTCCTGTTATGTTGAGACATGCTGCTCTTTGAATTTGTTCTATTTTACGGATAGCTAATAATTTTTGGGTTTTCGGTACCCAGACAATCGCACCGTATGTTAGCATAGGTCTTATGATAGCCGTGTAAGTCCATGCGACGACTCTGGGGGAGAAACCTCAAGTGCGCCCTATGGTTCGGCGGCTTTGTTTATGAGAAATGCTTATGCTCTTTTAACTCTGTTTTCTAAATACGAGTTCCATGTTAACTTGCTGTCAAAGGTGAAACCTACGTACTACACCTCTGTTGCAAAGTTTAGTTTTGTGTTTAGGAGTTCTGGAGGTTTTAATTCCATTTTTATCATTTTCTTTGTGAAAAGGACCATTTCTGTCAATTCACACATACTAAACTATATTTTTTAATCTTAATGTATTGTGTTATTTTAAAGTGAATAAAAGGTTACAAATTAAGATCTGATTATTGAGGATACCTACATTCCAGGCTCTGTCACAGGGTGTTATAGTTTAAAATTTAAAAATTATTAATAGCTATAATGTTTTTATTTCTGAGTATAATTTTACGAAATTCGGTAAACGTTTCTGGTTTCATTTATAACTTCATCCCTTCTAAATTTTATGCCACTGTACAAAAACTTATTTGAACTATAAGTGATTGGATTTCGTGATATTCGCAGACAGAGGTGGATAAGTACTCTTTATTTTAATTTATTTTAAAATTCAAATTTTTTTAAATTGTATATTTTTTATAAGTTTATAAATTCCCAACAAGAGACCATCTATGGTGTGTTGATAAAAGGATGTAAGCGGTTTGAACCTGTTAATATACTAGATGCAAAAAACCAGGTTCTACCTTTAAATTTTCATTCTTTTTGTGCGTTTTTTGTGTACATCTTTAGGTAGTAATTGTTTGTATTAAAAAATATTACAAATAAGTTATAATACATAAAATAATACCATTTTTGTCGCTTACGCGTTTCAAAAAATAATTTTTTTTTAAATGTACTTCTTTTTTACGCAATTACTTCTTTATCAATTTATAAAAAATAAGAAAATGGCGGTTACAATTCCCTTACGGTTTCCTTGTTTCACTACCCATTAATTTATCTGTCGCCCATACCACTGATTTGAAACCCAATAATAAATTTAAAAAAACATTTTACCCAAGCATGTTTCGTTTAATAGTCTTATTTTTAATTAGAGAATCTTCAATTGTTCTGTCTTATTTAAAATGAAACAACTTGTATAATAATAATATAATACTCTTCCTAATTCACCCACTTACGAATAAATTTTAAACTCAAAAGCCGAGCTTGTCCGGGGAAGGGACGCCTATTATTAATACTGGCCGTGGCGCTCCGGGGCTACTTAAAGATGATTGATGGTGCCATTTGACTTGAGGAAAATCCGGAAAACCCCCACCACCATCATCGAAAGGGTAACGCATGGCGATTTTTATAATCTGGATGTCATATCAACAGAATAGTATAGAAATAGAGCTAGAGAAACATGCAAATAAATTCACATGGCCTTCTGAAGGATTCGAATCCTTTTTGTCGTTGCCTTTAAACGAAAACAGAATATTCGGTGCAGTTAAAGAAAACAAAACTTTAAACAATAAAAAATACAAGAAAAATATAATGTGTCGGTTATAAACGTTGGGCGTCTTAAGGTACGTTTACATCTGACATTTATTGCATGAGATTTATGTCTGACAGTTGTTCAGTCCAGTGTAAATACACACAACATATGTTTGAGTGTTTACACTGGACTAAACAACTGTAAGACATAAATCTCATGCAATAAATGTCAGATGTAAACGCAGGGCCGCCGAGAGCCAGACCGGGCCCCAGGACAATTCTCCAGATCGGGCCCCGTGACAATTTTATAAAATTTTACAAACCCTCTACTGGAATATTTCTAAGAAAAAGGTCTTCAAGCAAAAAATGTCTTCTCTTCAACTTGAATTTCTCTAAAAAAAAAAAGAAAAGGTCCTCAACCTCACCTAAAAACTTCCCACCTCTTCTGACGAACATCTGAAAGTAACAAAGAGTAACAAACACCCGCTGCCGGGCCCCCATTTGAGTCCGGGCCCCGGGAATTAGTCCCGGCTACCCCCCCTAGTCGGCCCTGTGTAAACGTACCTTTAGATGGACAAGTTAATAATTTCCAGAAGGAACAAAAAAACGCAGGGGTAGATCAAAGGGTAAAGCTTGGCGAACCGAATGGCGACTAAAAGTTATTAAATGAGTCACGTTCCCTGATATGCTGCAGAATTACAAATGACGGTACAGGTACAAAACCACAATTAAATTCTGTCTTCCTCGCGTTAAGTAGACGCAGGTGATTTCCAGTCGTTCTACATTCCGAGTTCGCAATTTTGTGGGCTTTAAAGATAAAAAATTCTCTCGGTATGACAAGTGACCTAAAATCAGTTTTTTTTATTATTTTAGTATAAAAGCAGCAAACATTTTCAGAGCAAATCCTTTTAAATCCTTCAAATTTCCAGTTTTTACACGACCGTAATCCCCGGAACATGCAAATATATCTTTCACGACCTTTATAACCTAATTTGTGTATTTCTACCCACCTATATGCAACGCGGAAATATTTGCTTCGGAGGGTTTCCTCCCTGTTATTGCAGTGGTTGGCGGAGGGATCGGATCATCCAGCAGGTCGCACATTCTTAGGTCAGTGGCGTGCTCGACGAGCAGATCGACGGTGTCTCCGGTGCGATCCATGATGGCGCACACCTCTTCGAAAGAGCGGTCGATCAGGGAGACGCCGCTCCACTCGAGGACCTGTCAACAAAAAAACAAACAATTTTTATTAGAGAATTGTCTACAATAGCATACATAAATAAACATTATTTTTATAGACAAAAATCGTTTTAAATATGTCTCCCCTTAAATTAGCAATCTTATAACCACCGTTTATTCACTTTTATTATTATTCTCTTCTTCCCTTTCTAAACCCAGTTGAATAATTTTCCGAATATTTGTGAAGCCTCGGCGTTCCTACCCCCTAAGGACTAGTTGCCAAAGTCGCATGACTATGCTATTAAGGGATATTTTTTAATAATTTTTATGTTTTTTGTCACTGAAGAATGAATGTTCCTTCGGTACTCCAGGACCATTTGGCTGCATTAATCCCTTAATTGTATATTGACAACAGTAGCTAAAGACGTATCAGTTGTTAGAAATAGGTGTTTAGACTAGTTGGTTGTTACATTTGGTAACAAGCAGTGGTTCTTTAGACTAATTGTTACAATTCTATTTCTAAATGTGTTACAAATAACTCGTTTACAGAAGAATATATAAGAATTAATTACCTTTAAAACTTCATTGAGACTGCCCAAATAACATCAGTGGCGTATCTAGGCACCCGCTCTTATCTTAGTCATTATTTGAGATATCGGATTATTTTTTTTTGCTTGAAAGCTTCGAACAAGACATTGCTTATAAGGGATTAAATTATTATGTGAATGTAGATAAAGTATAGTATTCAACTTGCGGTAATGGTTATAACTCACTGCGGCTCGTGCTGAAAACTTCATCTGCGTGAGTTATGACCTGCATTACCGCTCGTTAAATAATATACTATTAAAGAATGTTTAATAAACACTTTTAGAATATTACCTCGAAATATGTTTTTAATACAAAATGATTCCAAAAATATTCTTTTCAAATACCGCTCGTCCTTTCAAATTTGATACAATAAATTTTGAGTTTCCATACTCAAAGGACTTTATTCCAGGCAAAACCACCCAAAAATGGTTTTAAAATAAAATCACTCATCATGCTGGTTTTTCCAAACAAAGACGTTTTCGTGGAAACTAAAAATTAAATCCATAAAATTTGGAGGACCCGTGGTATTACCTTTGATAAAATTAAGTAAGTTATTTAATCTAAAATATAATTATTATAGAAAAATGGAAAAGGGGAAATAATACAACAAAACGAAAATGGTATTCAACCGTAAAATATTATGAAACAAAACAATGCCTAAAAGATTTCTGAAATTTTACATAATTTTTTGTGACCTCCTTTATTTAGACATAATTCCAAACGCTTTTAAATTATTTTTTTATCGTCTTCAGCAGAATTACTGGAGGTACTGTCGCATATTGATTTACATATCTCTGTTCAGCAAATTGTAACAGTTTTACTGAGTTAACAATTAATTCAACTCATGTAAAAATATATAATATGTTACTGTAATTTAAACTTTAAATTATGTGAATTCTTAGAATCGACCAAATAGGTTTAGGAGTAGTTCGACCTGTTCAGATTTACAGTTCATCAAATTTCTAGAGGCTTTCGACGGCTAGACAGAGAAAGCACTACTGAGAGGCATCGGTTGGCGGGGCCGACGGATTTACGCAATGAAAGTACACTCTGCGCATCAAGTATTTCACTATTTTATTCAGACGTAAATGTCAGATGAAAATTTCGTTAAAACATTTCTTTTATTTTCGTTTGTGTTTTTTGCTCATTACAGTTTAATAGAACCTAAGTATGGAGTTTAATAGCAAATTAAGAGGCCGCGTGATTAACAGTCAATCTCGCGAAATAATAACCAATGTTATAGAGTTTATGAGAAGAGAAGGAAACTTTAATTCACCTTCAATACCATTTAAAAATGTAAATGATCGTGTTGCTGCAGCCACAGGAGTATCTAAAAACACTGTCGTCCGCATTTCTGGAGAGAAAAAAAGAATCGATAACCGTGAGATATCGGAATTTTCATCACCAAGAAAAACCATTAAAAAACCAAAAACAGTTAATGATATAGATGAAGCTGACAAAGGTATTTTAAAAAGAATTATTCTGTTCATGTTAATCTCGGAAAATATTGTTCCAACATTAAAAACAATTCTGACTAAATTTAGAGAAGCTACAGGGTACAAAGGAAGCTATGAAAGTTTAAGAAAAATAATAAAGTCGCTAGGATTTCGTTGGCGGAAAACAAAAACAAACAGAAAAATATTAATGGAAAGGTTTGATATTCAAAAGCTACGTTTAGACTATCTGATTCGTTTAAAAAGTTATCGAGCAGAGGGCCGTCCAATTGTCTACTTAGATGAAACATACATTCATGCCTCCCACACACACCAGAAAGCTTGGAGTGATAATTCAAATGAGGGATTAAAGAAACCAATTAATAAAGGTGATAGACTAATTATTGTCCATGCAGGAGGTGAAATGGGCTTTATTCCGAATGCCCGGTTAATTTTCAAATCTGGAACCAAAAGTGGAGACTACCACGATGAAATGAATTTTAATAATTTTTCTAAATGGTTGAAAGAAAAGCTGTTTCCGAACCTCCCTCCAAGAAGCGTCATTATTGTTGATAATGCTCCTTACCATAATGTCCAGGTAAATAAAGCACCAACGTCAACTTCTAAAAAAGCTGACATGCAGGATTGGTTAAGGAATCATAATATTGCTTACGAAGAGGATATGCTCAAAACGCAATTATACAGTTTAGTGCTATTGCATAAGTCACGATTTAAGAGGTATGCAATTGAAGAAATGATAAATGAACATGGTTTTAGTTGTTTGCGTTTGCCACCGTATCATCCTGATCTTAATCCGATCGAATTAGTGTGGGCATCATTGAAACAATATGTAGCTAGTAACAACACTACATTTAAGAGGCAAGACGTACAACTGTTGTGTGAAGACTTTTTTGATACGTTTTCTAAAGAGGAGTGGCAATCTCGTTGTAATACTGCTAAAATGTGGGAATCTAAATTTTATGACAGAGAAGTTACTTTGGATGAGGCAACTGATAGATTTATAATTAACTTAAACAGTGACAGTGAGACTGATTTTGAATCTGATATGGAAACTGAAGAAAGTTTTTCGGAAGACCATTAAAATTATATCTGTACCTAAGATCAAAAAAGTATTATCTATTTTTACAACGAAGATGCACAAGAATCAAATTTTATTTTTTTATTATTAGATAGCTATTTTTGTTTCTGAGTTGTGTTCATTTACAGGCTCAATTTTTTCCGTTTCTCCTTTTTGATTTTATATGGGGTTTCAAGTTGTTTTTGACTTATTTCGACGTAAATCACATCAACACACTTTTTTAATAAAGCAAACAAGTGTTAAGAGGTATATGTACGTGTAAACTACAATTACAAAAAATTGATATGAAACCCATGAAACCACCAACAAAAATGTAAAGCTTCCGTACTAGAACATTGTGTCATTCGTCGAGATAATTTATCGTTTTGTTTAAAAGATCAAGAAATGTAAATATTCCCCTGTTATTTTTTATAAAATTATAAGAGAAATAAATTTTTTTCTAAATAGTATAGTTTATTATTTTGTAGAAAAACAAAATTTCGAAAATTTTAGTAATGTTTCAGAAAAACCGTTATTAATAATAGGTACCATTTTCCTTAATAAGGTAGAAATAAAATATAAACTATTTCCACGATTTACAAAGGCCTACAAAAAAATTATAGGTATTTTCCGCTATCCTATAAAATTTATATTTTCTGACTCAATTTCAAAAGGTTGAAGGAATTCCAAAACACTTTTTATGGCATAATAATTATTTTCAATTCTACATACTATCTTTAGCTGCTTTTAAAAACGTTCTAAGAAAGTCCAATCAGACCAATTTAATCCCTAAACTATTCCACACTTTTAAAATTTAATTACCTAAAAATATTAAAAACTATTTAAAATAACTTGTTTAGCAGACTGTACAATAGCTATCTTAGTCACACGTAGCGCGTTCTCTGTCTGGGCGTCGAACACCTCTAGAAATTTGATGAACTGTAATCATTCAAAAAAATTGACTTTTAACGGAATATTCTATTTATATGTATAGCTGAACAAAGATTGGAAGATTGACCTGGAAAATAACGCGTACGACACCTTAATCATTAAGTCCCGAAACGATGGAACATACCTTGTCACCCTGTTGGAGGCCTCCTTTTTCCGCTGGTCCACCTGGGACGGTCCACACAATGTAGGCGAAAAGACGACCGTCGGGAGCTGTTTTACCTCCCACAACACGCATTCCGAATCCTCGAGCTGCAATGAAGAGAAACTGAGGTTAGTTTAAGAATACGAATTGATCTTTTCATAATAACTTCATGATATGGTATGATTTTTTGAATTTTTCATAATTTATTACTCAGATTAATTTTTAACGAACGATCTTGTTTTAAACTTCAGAATATTTTAGGGTTTTATTTTTGAGATTCTATAAAAGAACGAAAAATTGGTTTAAAATTTCCTAAAATAGTTTATTGTTCCTAAAACAAAAGAAGGTGAATTCTTTGGAAATCCACAAATAAATTTTACTCTCATTCGGTTAGTAATCTATGGATTTAAACCCTTCGAAATAGTCGGAAAGTGACGTATTGCTTACTTCATTTTCTTGGCTAGCATGTGTCACTTCCTTACCCGTAAATGTCACTTACTATATGCCTCGTAAGTATTTTCGTATCTCTTCCTGTTTTTTCCGGAATCATGCCTTCGGGAGCTTTTTCTGCAGCGACTCGTAGTTTCGGTGGAGTACATTCAAGTTAACTGTCGGACATATTTATAAGTATATAAAGACAATTTTATCATTAAATGTGCCGTATAATAAATATGTAGTGGAAAAATAATTAGCTAACTGTCAGATTCAACCAACTTGTTATATTCCTGAGCAACGGTCCCACAGCTATCTTCCTTAAAAAAAATTATCAAATTATGATAGAAATTAATACCAATATCATTATTATTAATTAATTAAAATTTTTAATAAATCATTTATGTATTTTCATAGCATGGAACATTTAACAGCACTATCAGGCAACGAAAAGTCTTAGTTAAGTCAATAAAGAAAGAGAACACAGTTTTATATCATGAAGTTTATTGAATAATTTGCAAATGTAAAAAAACGGTAGCAGACTCATCTTATCTAGAGGTAATTATGATTGCATAATTAGTAGGGTAGGTACTATGTTGACAGTTTGAATCTCCTAAAATAAAAAAAAGGAATTACTAAGACTATATACCGGGGTGCGTTCAAAAATGTAGGGTAAATGCGCCTGGACGTTGTCTAAATTCTAAAAAGCGTTCCTAAATATGGAACGTTTTATCTGGACGAATTACCCCAGTCGTTCCTATTTAAAATAAAAACGCGTCGGGATGAAGACATTTTACCCACCGTGTTGAGCAGGGTAATTTTTACTCGACTTGCGCAGTATGCCATAACCCTAATTAACCTAAGAGAACCACTTAGTATTTAATTTCATATTTTTACGTTTTGAGTAAAAAATATTTAAATATGAGTATGAGTGAGAGAATTAATTCCATCTATTATCGTCTAGTTGTCGGAAACTATGGTAATTTCATTATAGAAAATGTTTATGACACAGGATTAAAGGTAATGAATTGAATTTTTACATAAAAAAGTCTATGTGGACGTCAATGATGTTACATATTTACTAATTTTTAATAATTCCTACAATCTCAGATAACAGAAAAGACATAACCAAAAACTTGATTTGACAATACTTTGCACTTCGTTCGTATTTATCGGACAAAAATAAACGTGCCAACGAATTTTGTCCGCCGATTGAAAATTTGACGCTCTCCATTTCTGAACGCACCCCTAGTATTACTGGTTATCAAATATCGTAAGAAAAACAAATGTAAAATAGGGTTACAAAGTAAAAAATAGTATATTGTTTCACGAGTGACGAAAAAATGATTTTCGACGAGTAAAACACTATACTTTTTCTACGAACTCTATTATGTCATGTAGGTACCTACTAAAATGAAAAAAAAACAAACGTTAGCAAATGCTTTATTTTGTGTTAGGAATAATAGGTAAAAATTAACCAACAATTAAATATTTCAGAAATATTATTTATTATTTAAATATTGATTTATTGTTATATTTGAACAATTGTTCAAAATTATCACACTCAAGCTTTTTATTTATTGAGGTAGATGTCGACATATTTGTTCTACTGTTAAATGTCATTTCAGATGATGATGCTCCATAATCGGATGAACTAGTAGTTTCCTTATTTTGTACAGATTGTAAAATTTTGGTTTGTATTTGGTTTTTACTGTTCGTGGATTCATCAACATATCCTTCCGCAATACTACTAGATTTCCAACCACCGTGCTTTTTTAACAGAAGCAAGTCACCTCCTGCATCCACTAATAGCGTTGCGGATGTTCTGCGGAAACAGTGCCCAGTGTAATCTTGAGGATTCGGAAGCGTTAAAAACTGAGCAATTTCGTTAGGAAATTTACTGATTTTATTAATTCCAACAACCTGTCTGCTACACTTTCCATTCTGATAGTTAATAAAGAATCTTGAATTAATTTGATCCATGTTTGCGGGACGTAGGCTCATATATTTTTTAGAAATATCATAAAAGGGTCCAGAAATATGAAAAGAACGCGGAACTTTTGTTTTTGTATTACGGATTTTAACTAACATCGCTTATTGTTAAATCTTTTAGTTCGTGGCAACGACAAGCGCCAGATAATCCAAAAACTAATGCTACCTACAAATATTAGTAGTTATGCATTAAGTATTTGTTAAAATAAAAATAATAATTCCGTTACCTTTGTTATTAAATATTTATAGTCAGGTGCATTCTTTAGCAAAGTCTTTATGTCTTCAGGCGAAAATATTTTGGATTTTTGGCTTTTAAAACCATCAGATTTTCTTTTCAAAAGCGAACGTAACTTTGGATATTTACTAATATCGACATCATTTTTAACAGAGAGTGTAGTTCTTAGCATCGAATAAATGGACCATAACGTCGACGGTTTAAAATTTGAATATATTTCTCCAAAGTATGCTAGTAGTACAGTTTCCGAAAATGATTTCACTTTATTTTTTTCTCTCCAGTCCAAAAATTTGATATAAATTTCTTCATATCTCTTTTTTGATTTGGCCGGTAATAAATCTGAAGAGGTTTCTTCAGCTTTAAAAATAATTTCTGGGGGAGTACAATCGCTTTCTGACTCAGACATCATGAAAATGTGTTAAATTTAGGACGAACTGAAACTGACAGTTCTCAAAAGTGATAAAACTTCAAATAAACAAATGAAAACCAGGAAACTAGATGTAGATTGGTTTAATTTGCAATATTTTTATACATTTTTATTTTATCTTTAATTCATTAAAGTTTAGGTAAAAACGCATATAGAATTTAATGAGCATCTTTTTATTTCATTATTAATAATTATAAGCTGCCAAAATATTATACGAGGCGAGTGATATATGAAAATATGTAACAACTTACTTTCGTCACTAGAGACGAAAGTAAACGTTATGGGATTTTTTCTCACTAGTGACGGAAATCAAGTTTTCGCTGAAAGTATCCTGTGGTGAAAGATGTATTTTTGTAAGAGTTCGTAGAAAAAGGTTCTTTTTTAAATTAACTTGGTGAAATAATAATTTTACTGTCCAGGCAAAATTATACTTGATTGTTATTGGTTGAAACACTTCAAACACAGAAACTGTTTAACAAGAAGAATGGATGATTCTGATTGGCTAATAAAAATTGTAACTAGGTAGAGGATTCGGTTGCGAGCATGGTGTAAGAATATAGGTGAAGCACTTACAGATCAGTGAGGTGAAGCGGTGTGCAGGTTTTATGACGTCAACATCGGTATTGTCACGGCCGCCTACAAACTGCCATGGCTTTGTTTATATCTTGTAATGATTGTCAAGATGTTACTCTTTTATTTCCTAGTTCTATAATCATTGTAAAACTGAAAATATATATTTAGATGAAAATAACAACTGATAAATCACATCAAGTTATGCTCAATAATACAAGAAAATGCCAAGAAACTCACTTTAGGCAGATATTTTGTGCTCTTTTAGCTTAATCAGATGATATGCATTTTTCTTGAGGATAAACAAGATATAGTGTTCATCTGAAACTGATTTCTTCCACCACAAAACATGAAGAAGATGTTAGGTACGTCTAGGATTTAAATCTTCATACCTAGCATCACTATCTGATAGACTGAGATCAAGATGATAGCCAAAACGTCTAGAACCTAATCTTTAATTTGTTAGTCAGGAAAGTGCCACATGCTAGGCTGGAAAGTTGCTTTCCTGGCTAGGCGGGAAAGTGAAGTAAGCAATAAGTCGCTTCCCAACTGTTTCAAAGGGTTTAAATCCACAGATTGTGAGTAATAGTATAGTATTCAACGAGCGATAATGTAGGTGATAACTCTCGCAGAAGAAGTTTGGAGCACTCGCCTGCGGCTTGTGCTGTAAGTCATTAAGTGAGTTATGACCATTACCGCAAGTTCAATACTATACTTTATCTACAACTAAAACAATAAATATTAAGATGCAAGTACATAGAAAGAACTTTATTCACAAATCATAAGTTATAATAATTATATAAAAGTTTTAGTTGTAATTATTTATTTTATAAAGTGTAAACAAGCGGTTAAATGAATATGTGGGGCTGAAATATGCAAGTATATTATTTTTTTCATACATGTTGTAGATGTACTAACTGGTTGAGGCGTCAAAGAATTGAATATTTTATTTGCAGTATCTGTCTTATTCTTTTCGGAATAATCAATATACCCCTCAGCAACAATAGTTGATTGAAAAATTTAAAAAACTCTTGTCACAAAAGGGATTCGAATCCATAGTTTTTCGGAATTTTAAACCAATTTTTCGCCTTACATACCGGATGTTGCATCGTCGAGCGGGACATAGGACATGTAATTTTAAATGGGGTCAATTATTGGCTTCCCTAATTATTTTACAGAAAAATTATATTGAGGTTTATTAAAAAGCACTAAAACCCACATTCAAAAGAATAACTTAATATAATATTACGCTGGTTTTTGGTAGCTCAATTTATTTCAACTCAACTTTTACAATTCAACTTATAACATTAACGTATAACGTCTATCATAAAACTGCTCCCTTGACATCAGGATCACCGACTTATATAGCTTGCTTTAACCTTCTCGAACCTTCTTCAATTGTCCAGATTTTTCTTGACGTGGAATTTCTAGACATTTCTCGAATATTCCCC